GAGAGAGAGAGAGAGAGAGAGAGAGAGAGTAGGGATTACATCCCTGAAAATATAGAAAGACAATAACCTGATATTTATTACACAAATTATGCCACACGTACCGTTTCTGATTTTACAAGAGTTTCTTCCAACAAAATGACAATAATATTTTCTTTATTCCTTTTTCTCCCAATATTTCTCCTTTCCACACAAATGCAATAACTTTTTGTCCATTTCTGATAAGTTCATGAATTTGTGGACTTTTCTGTTAATTTTTAGTGACTAATTGTCATTTATATTAAATACCTTTGTGTGGATGTTTTCTACCAAAGGAGATGTTATATGAAAGGGACACTTTGAGTCTATGAATTAATTCATAACAGTTAAAATAACAATGGCTTGCTAGATGTCATTTTGTGAATGTGTCTGTGTCTTTAGGAACTGCTTTTAGGAACTGTTTGAAAATGTGAGGATAATTTATCCATTGGAAGATAGCCAAAGCACATTTAGTTCTAACTTTTTAAGAAAGGGTTTTTTCTATGGAAATGAACAAGGTGAATATACATGTACCTTTCAAAACAGAAAAGGACAAACAGCATATAATACAATCAAAGAAAATTAGTTCCATTTTATTTTGCAATAATAATAGATTTTAAGTAGCTAATTCATATCGGTATAGTATTGGCAGCCATTTCAAACTGACTGAAATGTTTTCTTTAAACTCATTCAATTCCTTCACATCCAAGGCTGTGTGTACCATACCATGGTTTCCAATTATCCTTTCCAAAGTGGTAGAGACTTGGAGAAATCTCTTCCACCAGTATTGAAAACAAGTACATATTAAACAGGTTATAACCAAAAACTATATATGTACTTTTTGCATTTACTCTCTTTTAGAATAGCTATAGTTGTGCGTTTATGGGCCATTCCTAAAGTTATACGTACTCTTCCAAATATATTTAAGAAATATTCACTCACAGTCTCTTTCTTTGTACAATTCTGATGTCTCTATTGTTACTGTAAATGTCAGTTGCTTTTCTAATTTTCCAAATATGCTGTCATAATATATTTAACTTAAAAAATACTTTCTCTTTTTTCTTTCTCCTTCTGTATTTTCAGCTGTGTTCTATGTGACTATGGCTTTTACACATTTTCACAGAAAAATAAAACCTTTTTTTCTGCACCCCACATCTTTTCTCATCTTCTGGTGATGCTTATCTTTGTTTGCCTTGACTGTTTCTTGCAATATAAGGTTCACAAGCCAGACACACACACACACACACACACACACACACACACACACGCACACACACACACACACACCTCAGTTCAACACAGAAGCTAGTGCTGATCTCCTGAATTGTGACCTATTTCCTACATGTGCTGTTGTAAGTAACACTGTGCTCTGGAGGTCAACATCTGGTGTCCTTCTTCTCTCTGGTAAGTAATCGTCTAGTTGGCACTGTAGAATGGCCGGCTTCCTAGTTGTTCTTACAGTGTCCCTGTAAAAGTGGTCTTCTGAGTTCAATCTGGCCCTACAGAGATGTCAGCCTCACTAAGGGACACATAATACACACCCTCTACTCTGGACAGACCTTCTAAAATATGGCTCGCATTTACTTGAATAAAAACTAATTTCATTCTCATTTTTCTGATTTAATATCTGAACTAAAAGGGCTGTGTTTCTGGTGTCAGCTGTGCTTCCCCCTTCTGAGCGTGCGTGTGTGTGTGTGTGTGTGTGTGTGTGTGTGTGTGCGTGCGTGCACATTATCATCCCTTTTGAAGAACAGAGAAGTAGAACGCATAGGCAGATTTGGGGAAATTGGTGTTTTGATAGCAAGAGAAGCAATATAATTCAATTATTATCATTTGAAAACTTATTCTGTACCCACATTGCAAGAAAGCATTTTTAAATACATGACTTAAATTTTTTCAATACAAAGTCAGTCAAAATTTCTTACCTTCTACATTTTTTTTGAAAGATGCTTTTTCCATTTCTGGGTTTTAAAATATAAATTATTCAGCCTCCACTTTTCAAAATTAGAATGAAGCTTTTCCTAGAACCAGTGCTATGTAAAATTTGAGTTTGTGATGTAAGACATCTGTTTCTCAACTGCCAATATTATTACTAATACAGACTATTTTACTTCTCTGTTAACTTTTTTGGATTTATTCAACAAATGTTCAATGAACACCTATTATCTGCTATGCCGCATAGTAGGAACTTCAGACACAATGATGAATTAGATATGATATTTGTTTCAGAACAGGCTGAAAGCCTCAAAAAAAATGTGAGTAAACGGAGAAGAGCAGGTGGATCAGGGTTAGGATGGAACTAAGTACTAGCTGTAAGAGTCACATAGGAAGAACATTTTGCTGTCTTAAAAGTGGTTATGGAAGGCTGAGGATTTAGCTCAGTGGTTTGGTGGCCTGCCTTGCAAGCGCAAAGATCCGAGTTCAATCCCTGGTACCCTCCCCCTAAAAAATTGGTTATAGAGGATCAGGGATGTTTCCAAAAGGGGAAGCTTAGATTTGAAGGTAAGTGGGAGCTGAACTGTAGGAGGAGGTATGGAGCAGCCGAGAATGTCCCCAGCGAAAGGGGCTGCAGAGGGTGGGCCACGTGGCCAGAGCATGGGTGGGAGTCAGTAGGGCTGGGGCTGGAGAAAACTATGTAGACCTTTTAAGCCATGGCAGAGACCTTGGTTTTTCATCCGAAGAACAACAGCGAATCTTTGAAAGGTTTCAAACAGAAAAGTCACATAATTACACTTGTACTTTCAAAGATCACTCCAGCTTCTAGGTAAAGGATGAATTCAAAATAAAGGCAAGACTAGATCCAGAAAAACATGGTTAAAGGGCCATTTCAGAAATGGAGATAAGTGAAAGGAGATTTTATGCTACTTTACGTAATTGAGGGTAATGTAGGAAAGGGGGTGGATTAACAAAATTTAAAGCAGGAGACCTTGTGATTTGGAGAGGTTGTAGGTCTAAGGTGGTGATATATTACTTGTGGGGAAAATAATTTTTTAAACATTCATCAAGTAAATGAATAAAAATAAAGTTTTGTAGGCTATCTACATCAGTAATTAATCCATTATTCCAGTGTGTAGTTCAAGAAATAAACTCGGGCTGTACCTCAAACTTAAAAAAACACACCTATATTTCCACCCAATGTCTAATGGCACAGGAGTCTGGGTATGGCTTAACTGGGTCCTATGCTCAAGACCTTACAAAGCAACATCAACTGGGGAAGTAGTTACATCCAATGCTCCACCAAGAAGAAACCACTTGCAAGTTCACAGAGTTTGTCGGTAGAGTCCAGTTCCTTATGGTTACGGTACTGGGGGCATCAGTTTTTTGCGACTGTTGACCAATGGTGGCTCCCTCATCCCAGAGGCATCCCACAGTCTCAGGCCACTTGGGGCTCCCCAGCATGACTGCTTACTTCCTCAAAGTCAAAATAGGAGGAAGAAATTCTACCAAGACAGATGTTACAGTCTTGTGTAACATAATCATGTAATCATAAAGTCACATGCATCCCCATACATGCCATCTTCTATCAGTTAGAAATGTCATGGTCACACCCACACACAAAGAGAGAGGGTCAGACACATTAAACACCAGAGGGGGAGATCGTGATGTCCAAGTTAGAGAAGTTTGCCTCATCACCTCCATATTTTCTTCTTCACTCTACGTCATACTTTCTCTAGGCCTCTCTTCCAAGTATGCTGGTCCATCTGTGTATGATCCACTGATAGATTTTTAAATTTCTATTACCTCTTAAATTGCCAGGCATTTTATTATCTTACAGACCAACCTTTTCTTTTGTCTATGTCCTATTTTTCACCATAATTGCAGCTCCTTATTTCATTTTCAGTACTTATGATCCTACTTAATAGTCATTTTAAGACTGTAATAATTCAAACTCTTTGAATGCTCATTCTCCTTTTTTTCTTTCCTCAGAATTTACTCATGGGAGTTTTTCCTGTTGAGATTTGTATGTTGATGGGTGAACACAACTCTAAGAGTATGGTCCCTTCTCCTGTGGGAGCCTTTGTGCACTCGCTAAGTTGTAGAAATGTTTCTGGCCATAATCTTGCCTTGGTCTTTTGTTGGCAGCCAGGAACCTTATCAGTCTAGAGTCTATTTTTATGTTCCCTGTTTAAGGATTCTCACAATGTCTGGAGAGTCCCAGATGGGTTCCATATTCCATTTCACTATGAGCTCTTCATCAAAACACTCCAGAGTGCTTCCCTATTCTCATTTCTTACCT